AAAAAAAAAAAAGGGCTGAGTTTGTAGATGTAGATGTATAGTTTAGTAGTACTACCAGAAAAAGAAAAAAGAAACTTTCAGATGAGTAACTTATGCTTGTTTCATCACCAGGTCTCATGAACTCCTGCCTTTCTAGCCTTAACAAACACCCTGGATATTCACGTTTCAAGGTGAGACAGAGCACAGAGGAAGAGAAACTCTGGCTGAGTGTTTGAGTGTGCCCTTGTGTGTGTGTAGTCCACAGAGGCATCCTTACAGGAGGCAGGGAAGGGAACTGGAATTATTTCAAAATCACTCTGAATAGCCAATTTCTCTATTCTCTATTCCTTGACCCATAAAAATATCTGGCTAAGTCCTGTTGCTAACACTAAGCATAAGGGAGGAGTTGAACAACCTGTTTCGAAAGATAGGTACCAAAGAAGGTAAATGAGGGGGATTTTTTTTTTTTTTGAGAAATGATCTCACTAAATTGCTTAGGGCCTCACTGGGTTGCTGAGGCTTGTCTTGAATTTGTGATCTCCCTGTCTTAGCCTCCCAAGGTGTTGGAATTATAGGAGTGAGCCTAAACTTCCAAGAATCTGTTTTTTTTGTTTTTCTTTGAATGTAGGGGCACTTTACTGAGCCACATCCCCAGCCCTTTTTATATTTCATTCAGAGGCAAGGTCTTGCAAAATTGGTTAGGACCTTGCTGAGTTGCTAAGGCTGGCCTTGAATTTACGAACCTCCTGTCTCAGCCTCCCAAGCCACTGAGATTATAGGCATGTGCCACCACACCTGAGAAGGGGCTGTTTTAAAGCTGGCTAAAGAGATAGAGGCAACTGGAAGAGGAGGAAAGCAAGACCTAAATCAGAGGCTGAGTCTCAGGATCACCACTCCTTTGTAGCATGATGTGAGCTCTGAGCCTCATACATAAATACCACTTTCTCTAGAGTAGTCAAGAGGACTGTATGTGGTAATTAAAGGGGATAGCATCAAAAGCACTCATCTGAGTCTGGCTCAATGTAGGCCATCAAATCTAGGATGGTAACAATATTTTTTTCTTTAAATCAGTGACATAGTCACTTATAATCACTATAAGATTGGTAATTTTTTTTTTTCTGGTACTGGGATTGAACTCAGTACTTGACCACTGAGCCATATTCCCAGCCCTATTTTGTATTTTTATTTAGAGACAGGGTCTCTCTGAGTTACTTTAGTGCCTCAAGTTTGCTGAGGCTGGCTTTGAACTCATGATCCTCCTGCCTCAAGGCTCCCCATCTGTTGGGATTACAGGCTTGTGCCACAGCGCCCAGCTAGAATAGTAACTCTTTTTTTAAAAAAGAATTATTATTATTAGTATTATTAGTTGTAGTTGGATGCAATACCTTTATTTTTATTTTTTTTATATGGTGCTGAGAATTGATCCTAGTGCCTTGTGCGTGCTAGGCGAGTGCCCTACCAATGAGCCACAACCCCAGCCCTAGAATGGTAACTCTTTAAAAAATTTATAGTTGTAGATGGACACAATGCTTTTATTTTATTTGTTTATTTTTATGTGGTGCTAAGAATCGAATCCAGTGCCTCACACATGCCAGGCAAGTGCTCTACCACTGAGCCACAACTCCAGCCCCAGAATGGTAACTCTTAATGAGCATAAAAAGGTGCAAGCTTTGGAATGGTCTCTGAGATAGGCACAAAGGATGAGAGAACTCGAGGAGGTTTAGGATATGGACCAGGCTGCTGCCTTTCACTTTGATTCCTCTAACCTTGAGGTGCTTAACACAGTGTCCTGAAGCCAGCATACCCAGGAATTGCTAACTTGTTTTGTTTCCTGTGTCTCCCTTTTCTCAGTCAATTAATTATATCCAGCAGTGGTAATCCAGGCACAGATTCAAGATTCCACTGTTCACCGCCAAAAACCAGATAAGCAATCATACCTTCTTATTACCCCTTAAAAGCCATCCACTCTGCAAGACTAGCTAGGAGTAAAATGTGTTCTTTCTCAGAGCCAAGAGAGTGGTCAGTTTTCTGAGATTGGGATGAGGGGAATGGAGAGGATGGAAGTGAGAGGAAGGCCTCTCCTTGCCTCTTGAAACAAAGCCATTGGGAGATCTTGGGCCCAAGTCTCCACCTCCTACTGACCTTTATTACCCAGTGGTAAGTCCATTGGGGCTTCCAGTTTATGCTCATCATTGGAGCTACTGCTCCTCCCGCAAGCCCATGCCTAAGGATGGAATCAAAAAGAAGACAGGGCTATGTAATGCCATACCAGGCCTGGGGCAGCAGCAGAGGTGGCAGGCAGGGACATCTATCTAAGCCTTGTGCAGTGTTTGGCCCACAGTGGGCACTCAGCTGTTGAATGACTGATGGTGAAGGGAAGAACTCAGAAGAGAGGCTTTGGTTTTCCCAGGCAGGGGACACCTGACCCTGGGAAGGAAGAGAGTGGGGGTTTCCTACTGAAATTCTCAGGCCTGTCCCATTCTGGGTTTCAGCCTTTACATCTATCAGAGAAAACCAGGAGGCTCCAAAAGCCCCAGGCATTCCTCCCTCATCAGCCCCAGTGGAAGAGGCCAGGGCTGGGGGACCCCCCAGGGTCAGGCTTCAGAAAGAAGCAAGTCTGACATAGTCTTATGAGACAATGTCAAGTCAGACTTCCCTGAGATAGACAAAGGGCAGGATCTGATGCTGGTCCCTGAAAGAACTTTAGAAATCAGAGGGTGGTTGTGTGTGTGTGTGTGTGTGTATGAAATTAACATCACACAAAGCTCCCTGTGCTGAGGGTATGGGAAGGGATGAAAAGTGAGGCTCTTCCTTTGGAAGTCACTGCAGTCCTTCTTGGGGCACTGTGGAGTTGTGGGAGATGTGGACCAGGTTTACAGGTGCCCAGGGTACAGGGACGGCAGTCGGGTCACGGTGGGTGAGGGATCAACAGGTGTGGCACTGACATGTTTCCCCGGCAGTCCACATATTCATAGCTGTCAAAGACCAGCTGCTCTGAATGGCTCAGGTGGGACCAGGTCAAGGTGCCCCTGGAGAGGAAGCAGGCCTTGTTATGTCTGGGAGGAAAAGGACAGGTCTGACCCTGTTTTGCTGTCCGGGGAAGATTGGCTCCCTCAACCTCCCTCCTCCTTCCTTCTGTTCCCTGCTGTTCCAAGGCACCAGGAACAGCTGCCCCACCTGTGTTCCAGCAACTTCCATTATGAGAAAGGCTGTCTGTCACCTCAGTCACATTCTGGGGCTGAGAAACCAGAGGGGTGTGTATGTGCGTGTGTGTATGCACATGTTAGGAATTGAACCCAGTAGTTTACCACTGAGCTATATCCCTACCCCTTTTCTATTTAAATTTTGAGACAGGGTCTTGTTAAGTTGCTGAGACTGGCCTTGAAATTATGATCCTCCTGCCTCAGCCTCCCAAGTTGCTGGGATTGTAGGAGTGCACTACTACACCCACTCAGGTCATTTCACTATAGTCCATTCAGCATCCACTCTGGGTCAGACTGAAGAAGCCAAGCCTGATCTTAGTGTAACCCAGGGATGTTTCCTGAGGGGAGCAGTGGGGGGGGGGTTGGGATGGATGGAAAGATACAGAATGGGAAGCTAAAGTTGGGAGAGAGCTTAGAGATTACACAATTAGAGGGAGAGAATGAGCTCCTGTGAATAATCTCTCAGAAGCCAGCAAAGCAGGATATGTTCTCAGCAGCCTTGATGCTCACTGGAACATTAAGAAATAGTTTATGATAAGACTAGTGTCTGCCAGCTCCCTCCTACTCTCAGGAGACTTTAACACACACACACAGTTGAATGTTGTTTATTGAGTACAATATAAATCTTTTACATTTGGTGACCTATATACAGAAGCTTCAGGTTGGACTCCTTGGACTTCTGCACTCTTGTTGGCACCAGCTTGATCCCAACTATCCAGGTGTGAGCTTAGAGCCAGCAGATTCCTTCCTCCCCCTCACAGTCCCAGCTAGTCTGCTAGTTCTTTTACCACAGTCCCCTCCATTTACCTTACTCCAAATTCAGCTTTCATCCATTGCCTAGCTTTGTCACTCCACATGTAAAGGCCTAACCTTATTTAGAGAACAGATATCATTTCTGCTTTGCTCAACTACAAAAATCGCCTCCACTTGAAGCCCTATGGGAATCTGGGAATTACCTGACCAACAGGAAAGGGAGGGTAGCCTGGTCCTCGTGAATGGGCTCCTTGTGTCAAAGCCTGGAGAGCAGGGGCTGTTCGGAGCAGAGGGTGGGATCTGGGGCAGAGAAGGAAGTGGAACAGAGCCCAGAAGTTTTGTCTAGACACTGAGAGCTTCATCCCCTGCAGGCTTTCACAAGACAGAAGCTGGGCCCAGTTTGAACTGCCTGGGTCCACTCACATCGACTCTGGCTTGTGGGCTTAGAAACTTTGATAAACACATTTGAAAATGATTCTGGCCATAACTTCTTTCTTGTGTAGACTCAGGGGGTTGCCAGGTGCCTCCTTCCCCTCTCCTTTTACTTTAACTCCTGCCATGAAATAAAAGTACAACTGTTCTGTCTAAAGGAAAAGCTTTTGATGCAGGCAGCTTTTTCTTCCTAGAAACCAGGGATGGTCACTAACCCACTAACAGGGGGTTAAAGGGCTTGCCACTCTGTTAGATGGGTGGAGGACAAGTTACCAGAGAGAAGAGGCTACCACTATCATTTTGTCATATGAGCAAAGCAGAGAGGCACAGGGGAACATCTGAGGGCCTTGTAGATAGCATTGGATGTCCCCAAAACACTTTCTTATCACTGGGTGGAGAACCTAAAAAGGGTCAATGTTTTAAAAGCCAGATAAAACTACAGCTTTTCCCATGTTCAGACAGGTGGAGGACGTGTTGCAGTAGAGCTGTGCAATCAACATGCTCAGCACAGAAAGAACAGGTACCAGTCAATGGACTCCAAGGAATGCCCCAGGGAAGTCAGACTTTCTAAGGCAGACCAAGGCAGAAGCTGATGCTCTAAAAGAACTTTAGAAATCAGAGGGTATATGTGCGTATGAAATTAACGTCACACAAAGCTCCCTGTGCTGAGGGTGTGGGAAGGGATGAAAAGTGAGGCTCTTCCTTTGGAAGTCACTGCAGTCCTTCTTGGGGCACTGTGGAGTTGTGG